ATTTTTTTAAAAAAAAAAAAAAAAAAAAAAAAAAAAAGCGTATATAATATATATATATAAATATATATATAAATAAATATATATATATATATATACATATGTTACTATTATTTTATTTTTGTTAAAGAGAAATTATTTAAAAAAAAATATTTATTATGAATGTTAAATAATTTATAAGGAAATAAAAAATTTATTAAATATAAGTTATACATTTCATAGATAATGTAAATTATGTGTATATTTTTAAAAAAAAAAAAAAAAAGAAAAAAAAAGAAAAGAAATAATTATAAAATAAGATTTAATAAATTTTATGTGTTATTTTAGTAATCCATAAAAGTTGAAAATTTTTAATATATAACAAAATAAAAATTTTTAAATATAACAATTATAATAATAAATAAAAAAATGAGCTTTCATCAACAGAAAAAAATGTGAAAACTCCTTAACGTAAGGTCTTAAGAAATATTTGAAAAAATAAAATGTAAATAAATAGAATATTTGTAAATATGTTTTTCATATACCAAGATATATTAATTTGAAATTTCACACATTTATAATATGAAGAAAAAAATATAATTACTCATAATATATATATTCTCATAATAAAATTAAAGGGAAAAAACAAAAAAATATATATTAAATATAGTTAAAATGAAGGCGAAGATTCTGATAAAAAAATTATAAATGATAAAACTATATGTTTAATATGTTTTTTTTTTTTTCCTGCTCTTTTTTAAACTAATATATTCATATTATAAAAAAATATACGAAAACACAATTTTCAAATTCCTTTAAAATATTATATGTTATAAAAAAATATGAAATTGAGGGAGAAATTTTTATAATTTTATTTACCAGATGGAAAGAAATATTTTAGGGATTATTTTTAAAAATAAGAAATATACAAGATCTTTGTTAATATAAAAAAACATTATATAGACATGACACTTTTTTTTTTTTTTTTAATTTGTAAATATTTATAAAAGATAAAATTGAAAAAAAAAAATAAAAAAAAGATATATATTTAACTAGAAAAATCATTTTCAGTAAATCTTAATTTTAAAATATATATGTATATGTATACCTTTTATGTTAATTTCATGATATATTGAAAAGAGATTTTAAATTATTCTCCTTATAATAATAACAGGAAAACATAATAATCAGTAAGTGAAGAAGCAAGATTTATTGTAACATTATTAAAAATCATAAGCTTATAAATCTAATTTTATATTTACATTCATAAAAATAAAAAAAAATAATTAAATTAAATAGTTAAAAATACACAGATATAATTATTAGAAGAAATTTTTTCCCATTATAATAAACTCTTAAAATATTTTTAATTTAACTATATAATTGTAATTTTATCCTATTCATTTATTAAAATGGAGAAATATATATGTGTATATATGTGTGTTTTATTTATATAAGATTTTTTTAAATTAGTGTTTTCTATTAGAAAGGAAATTCTCATGTATCTTCTAAGTTTTTTTCTTTTCATTTCCCTCAAAAAATGTAGAAAAAATCAATATTTATTCATTTTTTATAAAAATAAGGTTTTTTAAAAAAATATCGATATATTTTTCATTTAAGAAAGAAGATTAAAATTACTCATTAAATTATTACATTAGAATTATTTTTATTTTATTAATTTATATATAGTTCATTTTTTAAAAACATTTTATAAATCATGAAAAGTTCAAAATTAGTATTTGTTTTTTTTTTTTTAAAATTATTAAAAATTAAAAAACTACATATTCCATATGTTTGTTTGATAAAAAAAAAACTGTAATTAAATTTAAATATTTTAACATGTTTTTTAATAATTAGTTCTAAAAAATCTAAACAACATTCAATGTATTTAACTATTAAAATACATTAATTTTTTTACGAATAACTTTTTTTTTTTTTTTTTTTTTTCTTTTATTATTGTTTCCATTTATTTATTAATGAAATAAAATATAAAAGACATTTTTTAATAATACAGTATTATATTTATGAAAATTCTTTAATTATTTTAAAATATTAAAAATGATTAATATATTTTATTTTAAATAAATATAATATTTATATATTTTTATTTTTAAATTATTCTTACTATAAATATTAACACAGAAATTGTGCTTTTTTTTTTTTTTTTTTTTTATTATTTTTCTTCTTTTCCCTTCCTTTGAATACCCATCTATAGTTTTAATAACATTTATAAATGTAAAATTTAATTATTAATATAAAAATATAAAATAGGTTTACTTCAAAAGTAAATATAAATTAATTTTTACAACCTTCTATATGAACTAAAATTGTTACAGAATATATTTTTTATGAAAAAATATTTCCCTAAAATTATATTTCAATTTTAATATTTGATTTTATATAAAAAAAAAAAAAAAACATTTTAAAAATTTATAAAAGTATTCTAGAAATAAATTTTTTTTTTTTTTCTTCATATTAAAAAAAAAAATGTTAGAGCAAAAATATTTACTCACAAAGCATTTCATTTTTTTTTTTAGAGAAAGAAAAATAAATTTATATTATTCTATAAATAGTTATATATATATAAATTTTTTTTTTTTTTTTTTTTTTTTTTTTTTTTTTTATTTAAAAAGATGGGTAGGAGTTACAATTGAAAACTTTTTGTATTTTCTTGAATATTTGTTGTTGTTCTTTAAAAATTTAATTTTATTTTATTTAATAATATTTTTTATATCTTTTATTTAATAATTGTCAATTTTAAAAAAAAAAAAAATATTATAAAAATGAATGATGATACGTTAATTTTATTAAATGAAGGAATTAATTTGATATTTGATAAATGGTATAAACTTAATATTTAAAAATATCCAATATTTTTAAAAATATATATTTTTTTCATAGAATCATAATTAAAATTTCATAAAGAAAATACAAAATTTCTCTTAAATAATAATATCATTAAATAAACTCATAAACATATGCATATGTAGATTTTGTGAATTTATTCAATTTAAATAATTTTTTTTTTTTTTTTTTTTTTTTTTTAGGACGGTTCTTCGGTTAGCTGTTACGAATAATTGGGGAGGAATGAATTCAGAAGAAAAAAAAAAAAAATTAATTGAATATGTATATAACTTTGTTTTATCAAGTATAAATAATAAGATATAATATATATCTCTTTAAAGATATTTTATTAATTATTACACTTTTGTATAATTTGATAATTTTATCATCATTAAAATTCTTATGTTAATTTTAATTTTATAGACAATTTTCGTAAAAATAAATTATGTGATTTTTTAAGAGATGAAATGAATACCCTCTTTAATGTTGAAATTGAAGATGATAGTGATGTAACTACTGAATAAACAAAAAAAATATAGAAAAAAGAATAAAAATGAGAAATTCAACATATCCTTTTTTTTTTTTTTTTTTTTTTTCTATTTATAGATAGAAATTGCAGAGTTAATATTAGAACTTTATGAGAATTTAAAAAAAAAAAGTTTTGATATATTAGAAAAAATTAGAAAAATAGAAGTATCTGATTTATCACAATCTAAAGAAAAAGAATTAATAGATGAGGTTGAAGTTACTGACGAGGAATATTCAAATAGTGAATACTCAGATGAAAATTACTCAAATAGTGAATAATACAAAATTTTATAAAAATATTATAGAGAAACGTTATATATATATATTGAAGAAAATATGGACTTTTTTTAAAAAGAGAAGAAAAAATGTATAATTACAATACTTTTAGAGGAATATACAAAATGTGAAAAATAACAAAATATATTATATTTTAAAAATTATTAAAAATTAAAGATAAAATTTTATTTTAACCAAAAATTTTATGAAAAATAATAAATATTTTTTTATAAGTATAATTTAAAAATATTATACAAATAAAAAATAGAAACNCAAAGAAAAAAATGAAGAAATTAAGTTTTTATAGAAGATAGAAAAGAAAATAATAAGTAAATAATACTTGAAAATATTTTAAATGTTGCTTTTAATAATTTTTACATTTTTGATTTTTATTTTTATAACAGATAAAAAAACGTATGTATATATGAAGATTAAAAAAAAAAAAAAAAAGTTAACAAATTGATGATACTAAATGAAATAACTATTATTATAAATTACATCAATAAAATTAAAAAAAAATTTATATTTTTGAATAAAAAAGTTAATTTAAAACTTATACTTTTAAAATATTCTTTATAATAATTAAAAAATTTTTAATATTTAAAGATATGTTCTAACTATGGAGAAAATGAACTTTTTCAATCCCTTTTTTTTTAAGTTATTTATATTTTTGAGAAAATAATTTGTGTTTTTTTTTTTTTTTTTTTTTTTTTTCAAATATTTAAAAAACATACTTATGAAAACAATAATTATATATGTTTATATATGGAAATTATCGGAAATATACATAAACATATGAAAACAATGTTTAAACTTTTCTTTTCTCCATATGTTCTATGTAACTTTTTTTATTTATTTTCGAAAATAATTGATATATATATATATATATATATATATATGTGTGTGTATATTTTTGGTCATTAAAAAATATGTTTTTATATTTTTAAAAAGTAATAGTTGCATATATTTTTACAAATGTAATATTTATTCATATATGAATATTCAATAGAAAAAACTATATAGTGTCATTATGAAAGCTTTCAAAAAATTAAAATTCATTTAAAATGAATAGAAGTAAAAATTTTTCATCTTCTTTTTTTTTTTTTTTTTTTTTTTGTATTTAAGTTTAAAATAATTTTAAATAATGTATTCTTTTTTG